AGGAAGGGTTTTGGTGGAGATCCTCTCTGGCCAAGATCTGGCAGGCACAGGCAGACCCAGCAGTCCAGCATGCAGAGGCCAACTGTGTACACACGCTGTCATCAGCACAGGTTCTTAGAGAATAGCATTCACACCGTTGGGTAAAGGGACTTTGCTCCATATGTTCCTCACTATCCCTCACATTTGCATGGCTGAGACGCAGATCCTTAGAGAAATAGTGATTTTTACTATACAAAAGTTCAGGGTTGTCTGTGCAGAAAGGACTGTGGTGCCAGATAACACAGTTTGGATTCCATCTTGAGACTCTACTTGGTATCCCCATTGAAGTGGATTTCATGATTGCCTAGAAGGCAGCAAAATCCCAGCGGCCCTGATCATGTTACAGTTTCAGGTGGTGAATTCAAATGTTCAGTTCCTTACAGAGTAGCTACATGAGGAGTTTCTGGAGATGAAGAGCAGCACCCCTGTCATGTTTCTCCTACTAAGATGGGTGAGACCTGAGCTAGGAGCTCAGCATGCTCACACCTTACACCTACACACACACACACACACACACACACACACACATATACAGAGTACCATGAGGCTTGTTTGTGTGTGTGTGTCTGCCTGTCTAGCCATTACTATCTATCTATGTATCTATCTACCAATCTTTTTCTACCTATCTATAGTTCCTGTAGATATTGAATAAACCATAATCTTCATGAGTCTAACAGTGTTTGGTTCAATTCTCCTGCTTCTGCTTCTTTATTATGATTCTCTTAATCATTACTTTTCTGCTTTTTAAAAAACTGTAAGATCTACTTGAAAAAATTTTGCCTAAAAGTGAAGAAGACTCTAAATAAGTGTTGGATAAGATTTAGCCTTTTCCAAAGACATACATCTCAGCACTATCACCAAATAAACAGATTTAAAAACGACAGAAAAGAATTGTGACCTAATTATGCTCCATTTGCAGCTATCATCTGCCAGCTAAAATAATAAATGCCCTATTTATTAGGCTGAGTGGAGTAGAAGTAATTTCTGCCTCATGCCCACGTGGACTGGCAAAGTCTGCTCCAGGCAGTAAGGAAGCGATCCAAGTTCCTGCCCTCGTAGGCTCTCAGTGTCTTTGAGCGCCTTGTCCTCCTCTGTCTGA